CTAAAATTAAAAACAAAGTCATCCGAGTGTAATTAAAATGATTTTCCCCGTTTTACCTTCCATATTTTTTATGTATTATTGGTAAGTCTGGAGCGTTATATCGCACTTAGGCGGTTTGTCAGTGGCCATGCTTCTTAACGTCGCTGGACTCGTGCATTCTGTTTTAGTTGTTTTTAGACTTCATAATAACCCTAGTTATTCCCACTATTAAATTGCTGTGTCTCTGGTCACTCACGTCCCCCAAAAATGTACAACTCAGTTTTCTGCAAGTGAACATGCAAATTTCGAGGGAAGCAACATCGAAAATTCTATAGATTTTGTAGCTGAATAATTAGAGAAAGAATAGCAGTTATGATGACTTCTACTTCCTTAAAATCTTTACGTGTCTGCTGTTATCTAGACTTCTCAAACAGTAGTGAAAATAAAGCCTGAAAAAAAAAAAAGGCTTGTACGGGAGTTTAACCCATGACTTCTGAGATACCGGTGCAGTGCTCTACCAATTGAGCTAACAAGGCAACTGACGACCTCGTTCCCAGGGTCATCTTACCGCTCCAGGGGGCGGTAAGATGAGAGTAAAGTGTTTTGCCCAAGAACACAACACAATGTCCCCGCCCGGGGCTTGAACCTGGACCGCTCAATCCAGAGATGAGTACACTAACCATGAAGCCACCGTGCTTGCAACAAATGGGAATGAACTTGTGGCCCTCTAAAAAATATATTAATCTACAATTAAAAATCTATACAAAAAAACCCTGATTAAAATTTATTAAAAACCTCTTTAGGACGCAAAAGCTATCTAAGATTAAGATTTAAAAAGCTATGGTGAAGTAAACCATAAAACAAGATCCAACTACATGTACTTAACTTATTCGATTTAAAACTATTTGTCTGGGAAAGGAGTACAAACCCTATCTCTAAGTTGACATTTATTTTATACAACACATTCAAACATTCGAATTGAACAGTTTTCCGAGAGCATACCTTGTCAAAAACTTTGAGCTTTGAAGAACATACGGTATACACATGTAATGTCCAAGGACAAATGTGCAAGCATATTTTGGAGGCTATTGTGTTAATTATCTTTAGATTATTTTTTTCAACACACACAGTTATGAAAATTGGGGAATATCACTCAAATATTCTGCAGTTTTAGCTGGGGCATATTCAGTCATGTGATGCATTCAGACCATGCAATCACAAGTGAGCAAGAATGCTTGATGGATTCTAAGTACCCATATAGAGTTTAACACTGGAACCTCTACTTAACATGAGAAAAAAGCCCGAAGAAAATAAAGAAAGTACCCGCACTGATTGGTTTAAAATCATGTTTCTACAATTCAATAGAAACAGAACTATCACAAGCTGTTGACATTATGATGATGATGGTGCAAGCAAAGAGAAAATTTTACATTTTGATGATCACACTAATCAATTTGTTTTCTTTTTTTTCTCGCAGAATTTGATAAAAAAAAAAAAATAAAAAACATGTTCTCTGTGTTTATATCAAACTACATCATAAATAATTAGTTTACAAATGACATAGTCTTGTAGAAAACAGAACCTAACAGAGGCATACTGTACATAGTAAAATCAAAGGCCAGAGTTTGGTAATTTTCCTGTTTATTTCCTTTTCCCTTCTTCCAATTGGACAACTTTTAAGATCTCCTTACATAGGTAATCCGCAGGTTTCATCATATTTTCGATTATATCAAAGTGATCTACTCCAGGCAACTCAAGAAAAGAACTCAGTACACCATAGCTCTTCAAGATGTCAGCAAATTCTTTAGACTGCCGAATAAACTCTGGGGTGCCATGCTCTTCAACAACAACCATGACAGGACAGCAAATTGTTGGCGACATTTTCATTAAAATCCTTTGTGGACTGAGTCTGGCAGCAGATTCTTCATCCAGTTTTAATTCATCATTTACATAAGTGCCAAGAATAGGAAGCATGTCAAAAACTCCAGAGATGAGAAACATACCACGAACAGCCTGGGGAATGGATGGATCTTTGCTCCAATCTGAGACCATCATCATGGCACACAAATGAGCTCCAGCAGAATGGCCGCACAAAAACAGATTTGATTTAGGAAACCTGTTAACAACAAACTTCACAGCTGCTTGGATTTCGGTCACCATCTGCTCCAGGCTGGCTTCTGGTGCTAGGTTGTAACCCACAATTGCAGCAATACATCCAGCTTTTATCCAAGCATTACTCACAAAGGCGTATGTCTTCCTGCTACCTAACTTCCAGTATCCACCATGAACAAACAGCAAAACGGGCATGGCACTGTTTGCATATCTAGCATCATCAATCATTGCAGTGGGATAAAATATGTCCATCTTGGCTTTCTTCTCACCGTAAGCTATGCTCAGTTCGCCATTTAAACTTTGCCGTGTAGTTTCACTGTATTCCGTACATACCTTGAAGTGATATTCCACGACTTTGTCAGCAGTCAAACGTTTGCTCCATCTACTAGGAGAATAAAACTTTTCAAGCCATTCCTTTGACTTTCCATCAAATCCTTCTTTTCCATCCATTCTTTTCTTTTTCTTTCCCAGATCTTTACTGTTGATAGGTTACCTCACCAGCATTCAGGTTGCTTCCCACTTTACACTCCTTGTGCTCCTTGGCTAATCTTTCTGTTTTGGAATGAAACAACCACGGGATCAATAGATGCAAAATATGAATCCAGACAACACTTTTTGCAATATAATCGGCAAGGAGGTAGCTAAGAAGGCTCATTTATAATCCACCAAGTCTGTTCTAAAGGTCGTAAATGGTTGCTACATGTGTACGATATTTAGGGTTTTGAAAAAACTTTGATCCGATCCCAGAATTTGTTGAAGGCTGCTCCCCACCTCTCTGGAAATTCCAGTTTTGGTTCATACTTCCCTATAAAAATTGTGGCTTTAGAGACCCCCTCCCCTGAGGAATTTCCACACCCCTCTTTAGGGTGGATATGGATATTTTCTGGAACCACACAATCGTGGAAGTCTCTTTTTCTTTGTTTCTCTGTCTCTAAGTCTAAAATAGTTTACATCTCAGTTTCAGAGTCTCAAACAAGGGTCTCAGAGACTCAGCTGTCTCAGAGTTAATCATTCATTGCTTATTCTGACCTGCCAATGTGCACATTTAAAACAACTCCAAAGTTACCCCTTTGTTTTTCCAGCCCTACTCCCCACCGGGGAAGAGGGAAATACTAATCTAGTGATAAGCTGTCTTTCAACTGGTGAAATGTACCAGCAACTGGCTCTTGGCTTCATCCTAGAGTGGTTACAATAGACTTTTAAAACTACATCTGGTGGCTGAAATTACATGTAGTTCCACAAAAAAAAATTATGGCAAAATAAAATTAATTAAAATTCATTCTGAAAGAAGACATGTTCACCTGAAACACTATATGATAAGGGATGGTGGACAAAGTTTCCTATGCTTACATTTCACCTAAATTGCCCTTCAAATCATTATATTTATGGTTTTATTCTTATCCTATGCCATTTCTTGCAACTTGTCATTAAATAGTTAGAGCAGTTTTCAACTGAGTGTCATAAAACCAAAACCAAAGTAATCGCTCTAGTCAATCACAAAAGACACAGACAATCCAGTGAATCAATCAAAGCTCAAAGCAAATACATGTAGCTGACGCAAATCACAGGAAAATGAGTGCGAGTCACAATTGGTTTTGGTTTTACTTGATTGAATGAAAAAGTGGCACGAGTTTTTTTTAAGCCAATCGTGTAGCGTAGTTGATGCAAAACCAATTACTTTTCGCCACTTAAATGACAACCGCTCTATTGTTCAAGATTTTTCTGACCGACAGTGAAAACATTCATCAGATGAAATAGGGTCAGTAGTTAGCATCACTCATTCATTTACTTAAGCCTCTTTTAAGGCCTGGAAAATAAACGTCTTGGACAAGGTTGAACAAAAGATCATGACTTGTCAGTGACAAGCAAATTTGTTCTCATATTTAAATCCCTCTCTGACAGCTAAAAGAAGCAATCTGCTATTTTTTCACAAAAGAGTGTACTGAATACAAACCAACGAATAATGACACATAGTCAAAATTATAGTGAATAGTCATGGTTGAAGTAGCACTCCCAGTTTCATAGCCCTGGTATCATAGCCTGGAAGCAAGCTCCTACCTAGTTCGGCTACAGGGCAGCTTGCTGCAGACTAGGCGCGAGGCTAGGCCCGGGGGAGTTGGGGGTGGGGGGGAGGAAGGGACTTGCATATGAAAGGGGTGGGGATGCTCGTCGTCTCGCTTAGGGGTGTAAATTTCAGATTTTGGTCTCACTTAGGGTGTTCTGGGCAAAACACCATCATACGTAGCCCATATGTAGCCCATATGTAGCCCATATGTAGCCCATATGTAGCCCATATCTAGCTGTGAAGGTCTCGTTTATGGTTTCACACGAAGAAATATAAAAATATATATTTAGTATGTTTTAAATATGGTCTCTTTTAGGGGTCAAAAAATCCTGGGCCATGCCATGATTGGATTCCTTTAGAGGTTTAATTCAAAATTTCCAACGAGCATCCCCACCCTTTCATATGCGAAGTCGACACCCCCCGGGCGAGCTAGGCCTAAACAATGATGCTAAATGATTAAATGACACTGTGATATTAGCCTAATTAAGAGCACTGATTTAACAGTGGTTAGCTCTTGACACTTTTAAGGGCCAGCCTTCTTATTGGGAACCAACCACTAATGAATGTTGTCAAGATTTGCACGAATATGTACGAGTTGAAGTTGTAGCGTTACACGAGCCAACCGCGAGCCCAAGTCAACCTCGATGTCAAACACGAATCAAGCCAGTTTTTTTTTTTTTGTCCCTACAAAAAATGTAGATTGTAGGAAATAAAATATATGAATATAACTTTTTTGGTACTTAATTTCGTGGGTACTTAATTTCGCGAAAAGGTCATTAAATTTCGCGATTCAAGCGTTCTCAACTTCATTTTATTTTTCAAAAGTCTGAACTTTTTAAAATTCCTAGATAAACTGGAACAAGCAAAACGTATTTTTACAAATTACCTTTTAAGGTAAACTGGAACAAGCAAAAGGCATATTTGGAAATTAACTTTTTACAACTTGACCGTGATACACATTGTCTCAGTACGTAGTTCTGTCATTTCACAACAGAAGATAAAAAATGGAACTTACAGGTAAAACCAGCTAATAGTTTGTGTATTAATTTGTCGATACACATCCTGTATATGTTGTTATTACATGTTAATCTTTTTTTTTTCTGTGATTTGAATTATCTATATGGGTGTTAAATTTCGCGTGTTTAAATTTTGCAAGGATTTTTGTTCGCGGGTCTTTGATTTCGCGATTTATTTACAACCGCGAAATAGCAGATTGTCTTAGCAGGTAACAATATTAACAGGCTCACCTCGATCGCGGCACGAAATTCCGGTAAGAGGCAACCGCTCGCGCAGGCGTGGCATGCATGTTATCGTTCAACTTTTCTGTCAGTAGATGGTCAACTAGATTCACGTCACTCACTTTTTGGATAAGACTACCTTGATAATCTGCAATGGACACAGCAAATAACGTGACTTGCCACCATGTTTGCAATTGCGTAAGGATACTTGGGCGCGCGGCGCGATTCGAGGTGAGCCTGTTATTAAAATGTCCTGTTGTTAACTGCTAAGACCATCTATATTCATATATTTTATTTTCTACAATCTATTTTTTTTCTCGGGACGAAACAAAAAAAAAAAACAGAAAAAAATTGGCTTGACTCGTGGTTGACTCGTGACTCGAGGTTGACTTGGGCCCGCGGTTGGCTCGTATAACGCTACAACTCTGTGCGAGCCCGCGAGCCGGAGCCGCGAGCCTATTTTTGCGAGCCACTGCGTTTTCTTTTTTCTGTTCTTTTTTTGTTTTTTGGAGTTTTTAATTTTGAAGGTTAACATTTTATTCAGTAAATGCTACACTTGGCAGAGCAAACAGCAAAAGTTTTCGACTTTCTTTCGTGCGTGAAATTCCGCGCAAGTAGTTATTCCGTCTGTATCAAAACGGATTTTGAAGTTCCAGATATGAATGAAAGTTTCCCTCGCAAATTTTCGTATCAAAATGTTGATTATGTAAAATCGATTAACATCGAAATATAAACAGGGAAACGTTCAAGTGAGGCGAATTTTAGGTAACTATAAAGATGATATATCGAAAGCACCGCCACGAAAGATTCATAATTTGTATCTTTTTTTTTTTTTTTTTTTT